TGAAAAAAATACTTGCACTTTGAAGGAAAAAACCTCCCACAACAAATTCAGGATAGGAATAAAAACAAATCATTTGAAAGTCACGCGCAATCTTCGCGAAAATTCCTCGTGGCTACTTGACAGGGGGGGGGCGAATATTTTCACGAAACGTTGTTCCCACAGCAACCTAACTGGATATCTGGATATATTATATTTATTGCATTTTTATGATTGATAATAAAAATACGTAAATATTTAATGTTTTTAATTTTTATTTTTAAATCATAAAATACAATAAATACAATATATTTAGTTGAAACTTGAATTGCTGTGGTGGCGAACAACGTTTCGTGAAAATATTCGCCCCCCCTGTCAAGGAATTTTCGCGAAGATTGCGCGTGACTTTCAAATGATTTGTTTTTATTCCTATCCTGAATTTGTTGTGGGAGGTTTTTTCCTTCAAAGTGCAAGTAATTTTTTCAATTTTTCTTTTAGGACTATTCTACAATGAAGTACTCTTGGATACTGTAATCTAAATACATATGAAGACGAAGAGTGGCATTTATCGGGCAGAGAATCGGCGAGCCATTAAAATGGCGGCATATGGACGAAATATCGAAGGACACAATATCGAAGATAAAATACACTGCACTGCTCCAAAACTTGCCGAAACTTGGTTGAAATCTCCTTTAGCCATTTGCCATTATGTAAAAGTACAACAAGTGGATGTTATTTGCGAGACACGGCGATATAAAGCAAACAAGACGGCAAAATATGGCTGAAATCGTGTTTTCGTGGGGGGTAAGTGAAATAAAATATATTATATTTATAGAAAACAGTGACTATCCTTATGAAAACTACAATAATTATATTAAATTAAGCATAGTTTTTCATCCCATGGTAATTTTTTTTAGGAAATAAGGATATTTAATTTCTGCCATGTATATTAGTTATTTTCTGCATAATCAGCAATTTACCTGGGGTGATAAATGGTCATTTTCTTGTAAAATATTATACTTCCACAAATTTTTCCTTCCAATAACCACCCCTAAAAGCAACCCTTCCAAACACTATAAGCACTTCAGAAAGGCTGTCGCTTTTGCTTTTCGGAAGTTAGAGCTATGTCGGCACTGCCGTTTCAGGGCGGGGTCATTTTCAGGACTTTCGTCCAGGATTCAGGTTTTGGCACATATGCCATGTTGACCGCCATGGTCATTTTACCCTAAAACAGTTGAGATTACCTGTGGTAAATGAAATGCATACAAACTCATATACAGGTCCTAGACTACCTACGATATTTGAAATTTATGCTTGAATGCATATGAGTGAGAAGATTGAGTTTCACACTGTCTAATGTCGTCCCTTCATAGGATTAGCGTTAAAAACATATTCTAATCATGGCTATCTACTACAAGCTAGATAAAAAAGAAACTGGATTGGATCGAGCTAGATTCTAATATTCTATGACGTATGCTATTGTTTTCCTCGTTAGTATAGGTATAGTAACATGTGGTGTAGAATTGATGACTACAAAAAATCATTTCCGAACATCATATTTCTAGCCTGCAGTGCAGACATTTTATTTGAAACGCACGGGGTGTGGCTGAGTTTATCATGAAAGGGCAATAGTAGTATCTTTACCTTTCATTACCAGGCTCAGGCAGATGAAAGAGCAGCCATATTAAAGGACCAACTCGAAGCTCGACGACAAGCTGTGTTTGATAGAGTACCACGTGAGGAGAAAGCTGAAGCCATGCAAAATGAGGTTAATAAATATTAAGTACAGTACATACATTACAATAGACTACCAAATATATTGGGAGATCTGAATAATGAGATATAGCGTGCCAGCTGAAAAAATAACAGTGGGACAGGAATCAATGAACAGCTCTTCCACATCTCACCAAGTATAAGCGATAATGTTTTGTTTTGCTAAGATCTGGTCATCTTAATAATGTACGTACACATTAAGAAGGAAAATGGTTGACTGCTCAAATTTTGTATCTGAATCCACAAATTCACGTTTGAACAGTTTCGCCGGGTATGCTTATACCTTTTCTCGAAGGTAAACCGCAGTTTTCAAGATTTCTACTTCATCCCCGCAAGGAAAACGAATAGCGTGTGATTTTGTACGTACGGCACTTAATATAGGTAGGAGACAGGAGAACTTGGTGTTTCATAGCCATGTTGTTCATTAATCAATTTCTAAGTAGTGTATACGTATTTTTCGTGTGATTTAATCATTATTTTTTTGTTCAGGAAAAGAAGGTGAAACAAGCATACCAAAGGTAATTACAGTATATTATAACAGTTCCTGCTGAATTACCACGCAGTGTCGTAATCTTGGTAGCAAAATCCCAAAATAAAAATTTCATTTCCTGTGTAAGTCAAATATAACATTTTCTGCATGTGCAGATTTCAGAGAAGGTTATTGTGCCACACAGTGTAACGATCTTGGCACAAGAACGTCTAGACTTGTACAACGCTTTTGTAAACAATAAGTAAATTAAATGGCGTTCCAGTATATATTAAAGATCACAAAAAGTTCCTGCAAAATGTAGGAAAATTTCCTGCGAAGATATTTTGTGAGAAATTTCCCGACAGTAGTGCTGCTGGCGCTGCCGAACATTTTCCAGCACTGATTGTAAACCGAACATTTACCTAGAAATACCTTTCTGTCCTATATTTCTTTTTAAGGCCAGACTCAAATGTACTAGGTTTATCCAACCATGACTAAACTGGTAATACACTCAGAATTTTTAACAGTTACTTATAAAACTCAGTGCTACAGTTGTAAAATATGATTGGATATATATTATACTGAATTTTTAACACTCTTCTGGTTCGCTATGCTTGTAAATTAATACAGACTAGATCACTATGATCCGCATCATAGATTAAGTCTGGACAGATGTGTAACTTCAGTAAAAACGTTGTCCCATCGTCGCCATCTTCCTAGTAAGTGTCGCTCGCGTGATTATTCGTCATTTGGTAATACGTCATTGCTTTCAAAAATGCTTTCAACACCTTTTCTACAACTTTAATTGCTTTCAACAACTTTAAACATTCAACAGATGATGCTCTTGATTTTTTAATCCATAAATTTCGATCCAAAAAATGCCGCAATAAATTGCAAAAGTTCGTGTTTTTCAGGACGCCATGTTTCTAGCAAGTATCATTGCGTGAGCATGACGTGTACATAGGGAAATTTGAGGACACGAAGTCCTATTAAGTTACACATCTACTATATTCTTAATCTGTGTCCGTCTCCACCCCAAAAAGAAAGAATTGGAATAATAATAAGGTTATCTGAATGGCAAAATATTATTGTGGGCTTTGCATATCATTACAGTTTTACCTGCTGCCCTAAGACTCAATTTTTCTTCCACATCTATTTTACAGGCCAGTATACGCGTTGGAGAAGAAACCTGAAGGTATATGGTTTATCAACAAAAAGTTTTGACTGTAGATGTTCCCTTCAGGGTAGTATGATACATTCACTGGCCCAGCTTTCTTTCCGCCACGGTGCATCACAGCTAGTCATCGTGCATGCAACTTTTAAGTACGAGAATTTATATTTAGAAGTTTATGTTATGTACATTGAACTCTATTGAATCCATCTTCAAATTGGGAGAAACTTACTTTTAATTGCTACTTCCCTTTAATTTCACTCGTTCAGTAGCTACACATGCCTACATCAAATTCAAACACTGCATTGAATCTACACCATCGTCTTTGCCAGGATCTTGAATTTGGGCGTCCAAATGTGGGTGATTCTCTTTGGATGGCATAAAGGCTGGCATACTTCCTGGTCTTTTTAATATACTGTATTATTGTATATTTGCGATGGCTTAATAAGCCGTTTTATCGGTAGATATGACAAAAGTTCTTAGGCGATGGCAGAAAACAATAACAAGACATTAGATAGTAAAATATACACAGGAAGACAATTGAACTTTCTATTAATGGGTTTTTGAATGTAAAAGCTGAACTCTTACCATCATTGGTTATTATAGATTTCCCATATGGTAAATTAGTAAAAACCATGAATTTTAATATTTTCCATTAATGATACTTTTTTCCTGTGCACAGGGAAATGCCATTAATGCATGGTAAATAAGACCATATTTGTGTATGATTGCTAGATGAATGCACTTACCTGTACTCTATTTTTCCCATGTTAATCTGAAGATTTTTAGAAGCCCTCTGTCAATATAATGATCAGCCGTCCAAAAGCCCTCTTTCTAGTGTCCAATTCTAAAATAGCCTTCCATAAGACAGTTGGATGGCGGGCTGCCTAAGACTATGATCCACACCTTATTATACGATAAAAAAGAAATGTTCTTATTTGTTCGATAGAACGGCCAGCTGTGCCCGCCGTTGGTCTAGAAACAGCTTTGAAACAAGTTGGAGCCACACGATTATTTAGATCACATTCAGAGGTGAGCAGACTGAGTTCTTAGAGCCTTTGGTAAATTTCTGTTTCGTTTGTTATCACTTGCCACGCCCGTAAGCTGATCTTAGAGACGGGCAAGTTTTCCATGACAGATTTTCATATGGCATTTCGCAGGTTTTATTTGGTATTTGCACATGTGTACGTACAACAAATTTTCTATGGCACGTTTTCTGGCCGCCATGATAGCTACTGATAGTACTGCGACAATGTACTGTACCGCTGCATCCAGGTGTTCAAACATGACAGTATGCATGTAATGTATATACCAGTCAGTGTATTTGTAAATTATTACCTCCGCCAGGAGGTTATGTAATCATCTGGGTTTGTATGTGTGTGTGTTTGTCTGTGAGCACGATAACTCAAGAAATACCAAACATATCCGTACGAAATTTTGTGAATGCATTTGCCATCGGCTAAGGAAGAACTGATTAAAATTTGGTTGAATTTGGTTAAAAATTGAATGAGAAATAACAAAAGTTTGTCTTGCTTTTCCCGGTCAATTAAATAAAACTTATACTGAATGCGTAATTAGGACGTGCATAATATATGCACCAGCCATTCAAATTCTAATAACAATAGATTACTTCAATATTTTGCGCGTAGGCGGAGACTGGTATGCAGTCTCTGAGTGCCCTCTAGTTATAACTGTAAGACTACAAAAAAATGTAAAATAGTAAAAATTGAGAACACACGTGAAACTTTCCTGCTAAATTTGAGTCCATCAAGGGAGGAGGGGGGAGGGGTGCAAATGTTCTCAGGGAAGGTCTGCACGTCCCCCTCAAAATCCGACAATGCTCCGATCATGCAATGAGAACTCTTATTTATAAAATGATGTTGTACTTAAGGGTGATTTGTCGAAAGCCATCAACGAAAGTTGCGATGAAAATCCTGAAGAGGATGAAATACAACGTAAACAGTGGGCAGCCAAGCCTTTCAAGCCTTTGATGTTTCCACTTGAAGTCACAGCATCAGCTATGGAAGGTAAGAAGAACGTTCAACATGGATGAAAAAGATTTAGTATATCTCGTCCTAAGAAAAGTGATATCCTGGATCCTGAGGAAAATTTGGCTTAGCAACAAAATTGCGTTGAGCAATAATTTTTTGCATTAATCATCATTTATCTCTCATTTGAAATTTTGAAGTGCTGTTAATTGTGCACATCCTCAATATAATGTGTTCAAAATTTCGCCCTTTTAAGGAATATTTCCCAAAGGCGTATTCACGATCAAAGACATCAAACTGCACGATTTCCAGATGAAAGATACTAGTAACATTTTCAGACCAACCGTATCAAATATGAAATGTTATAAAATGAGCATGTCATATAATGTCTGAGCAGTATGAACTGGGCGGGATTGAATATTGTATGAAAAGTACAGTATTTGAAATTTGTTTGAAATTCGACGATTTCTTGCTGAAATAGTAGATTCAAAAAGTATCTTACTTAGATTCAATTATCTTACAATGGGCCAACAATACCTTAAAAATACGTGCCCACATTATGAATATTTTGCGTTTTCTTTTTTTTCATGTTTCTATGTGAAGTCAAGAGTTAAGACGCATGTACTGTACTCCAATATAGAAAAGGGGTGCACAACTGTAGGATAGAGTGCAACACTGACAAGTTCGATCGTTTCTCAGATTTTATATCTATAGCAGTATGGCCGTTAAGGCTGGATGCACTGCGAAAAAATTAAAATGGTAATCTTTTCACATAAGAGACCTTGGTAGCTCTATTAATAAAAACTGATTTAACGCGTTGTATTTAGCAACGTCAGCGGATGATGTCGTGATTAAACCTGTCCCAAAAGCAGAACCTATCAACGTCAGGTCAAAATGGAATCATGGGGGCAAAACGCAGCTTGTTTCAGCATTAGGAAAAGCCAATATTCAACCAGGAACTTTTGGAATGCCTCCTAGTGAGTGTGGAAACAGTGGAAGTGCTGATGTCCAGAACAAAGAGGTGAATAAAGAAAAGCAAGAAAAAAAGACACCGGTATGTATTTTATTGTTATTTTTCATTGTACAGTAATTCCTCTTTCTTCTGCATTTCACTTGTGCAAAGATTAGGAATCGCCTCAGAATGTTTGTATATAAGGAAATCTAAGCTATTGTTCGAGCAAATTCTGATGTCAGTCTATGTAGAGTAAGGGAGATTGAACTGTGCAATTGTGTTTACAATTACATCAAAATGTGCTTTTGAATGGATTTGGGTTATGATGTATTTCATCACATTGTATTATACTGCATTGCATTTGCCTGTGCGTTGTGTTGTGTTGTGTTGTACGACGTGATATTTTCAAAACACCAGAAACAGTGCTACATTTGAGAACGCCCCCTCCCAGGACCCGAACTTGAAAGGAGGCCCATACCTTTCAAAATTCGGTACCCTTGCAAGTTGGGGCCAGAAGAGGAACGTTGCCCCCTTTTGCAAGCTGATTAGGAAATACGCTTTAGTTTTGGAAATTGTTAGCTTTTCTATGCTTTACTCTACTGAAGTTTTTCCTTGTTTTACTATACTCTGTACATACTCATGCCTGCACGAACTATGTAATGGGCAGAATTTTTTTACCATATGGTTATTTTCTAGGTGTCTTGGGTTGTTGGAGGTTCAAATAAACAAAACATGGGTGTCACTGTTTCTGTTTCAAAAGACTTTGCTCCACCATCTTCTTCTGGTACGTCATCAAGTCTTGGCGTAACGGTTGTTAAGTCGTCTGTCGACCAAACGAAGAAAAACAGGTATAACGGATGTAGTATGACTCGGAGAATAGTATGATCTTTAATAGTTTAATTTACTGTTTTTGTAGGATTGTTTTATTGCGAATGTTATATAGTTCTCTAACGAAAACCGTTGCAGCATCTTAATCAAAGTACCAAAGTGAAAAATTGATTGATTGGAATGTTTGGGATTTGTTTTCTGGGCCTTATATTACCATTCAGATACGTTAGCCCGAAATATTGAGCTTGCGCCCAAAATTCATGCTTCCTCAAAATGGCTTGGCCTAAATATATGCTCTCCATGCTTCTGATCATAGTCTATCAAGATATGGTGCTCTGGAAACTAAACAGAAGTGTTTGTTATATGTTTTTGTCTCAGTGTTTAAGGTTACTTCACATGATGAACGTGCGTTTTAGTCTATTGAACATGGCGCAAAGAATTTTAGGTCTAACTTTACCAAATTTTAGTGAAGAAAGCCAAGAAAATGCTGATTTCGAAAATCTTCATTTGATGAGTGTTCTGTTTAAACATGTCCAGTATTGGCTGACTAAAGAAGTATATAGGTATCCCATAAAAAAATCAAAATATGTTTATAGTTTACCTCAACGTTTGCCTACATATCTCAATTTGAATCTTCATAGGTACAGTAAAAAAAACGTGTGCGGAAAATTTCTCTTCTTCAATGGTTTTTCTGATATGACGTTTTCTTTGACAACTTCGTGAATTATCAGTGACAAATTCAAGAATAAGTGCATATCAGAAAAACCACTAAAGAAGAGAAATTTTCCGCACACGTTTTTTTTTACCGTGCCTATGAAGATTCAAATTGCGATATCTAGACAAACGTTGAGGTAAACTATGAACATATTTCGATTTTTTATGAAGGTACCTATATATTTATTCAGTCAGCCAATACTGAAAATGTTTAAACTGAACACCCATCAAATGTGAATTTTCGAAATCAGCATTTTCCTGGCTTTCTTCACTGAAAATTTGGTAAAATTCGTTGCGCAATGTCCAATAGACTAAAACGCACGTTCATCGTGTGAAGTAACCTTAAGTTAATTTGTGCACGGTCACAGTGATTGAGCTTATTGTATTTTTGTATATAATTAAGTAACCGTCCAATCGGGATAGCTGAGATGATGAAACGTGCAGCCACGATGAATAATATTTAATGAAGTTGAGACAAAGGATTTCTGCACGGTCAGGTACAGTTCAACATCAAACAAAGGCCTTCTATTTTGTAGCTTTGAAGTTTGCCGGGGTTTCAAACCGTCATATCTTAATAGACTATGTTCTGATAAAGGGTTTGCCAAAATTAGTTGAGACAATTGTTTCCGATGTTGTGTAATTGGAGTGAACAGCGTTGAAGGCGTATTACGTACATAATATTTTTGGCGTATATCTCTCAAAATTACTCTGTTTTATTTTCTACCTTATACAATAAGCAACCTTTTTAAATGCATCTACCGGTTGAGAAAAACAAAAACAATTGAAAATACATTTATCAATGATGCTTTAAAATTTACGCCATATCCAGAATGTATGCAAAACTTACTGAACTTCAGACGTCATTTTCTCTTTGGCATACCTTCTAAAATCTCTTCGTGGCCTCTGTAGCTCAGTTGGTTAGAGCACTGCACCGGAATCGCAGGGCCGTAGGTTCAATTCCTACCAGAGGACCTTGTGCTGCATTTTTCGCAGTCGTTCCCGGTTAGGTCTTAAAATGTATATATTCTCACTTGGATTCCTAACCCTAACATTCTAATATTAATTCCACCAAGTGAAGTGCAAGAATCTAAGTCATGAAGTCCACCTTATCACAACCCGCACACCCGATTACCTATATATACATGAACTTACGGTTACAGCTTAACAGCTGGCCTTTGTAGCTCAGTTGGTTAGAGCGCTGCACCGGAATCGCAGGGCCGTAGGTTCAATTCCTACCAGAGGACCTTGTGCTGTATTTTTCGCAGTCGTTCCTGCATGGTTAGGTCTTAAAATGTATATATTCTCACTTGGATTCCAAACCCTAACATTCTGGTTACATATACCCTGTGAATAAATTTAAACAATTTAAGACAAAGTTATAACTATTATACTGTCCATTCGAAAGTCGCGTTCCATACCAGGGGCCAGTTGTTCAAAGCTGGATTAGCTTAACCCTAGGTTAACTTAAATTTCAAAGCAAATTTCCTAACAGCTTGTCTATAAATTTGGAAATGTTTCTTCAGAAATCTTGTCTGAATCAACAGGTGTTCACTTCTCTGAAGTTTTGAAATAAGCAGACGTGCAGAACTACACAAATCAAAACAGCGGGTTAAATTTTAACCCACAGTACTAACCCACCGCAGACGGATGAAAACCCCATGTCATTTTCGGCCATTGACATCAGAAGAGAACGTTAACCATATATACTGCAAATAATTAGAACCTGCCGAGGAAGACCAAAACATAGAGTGACCATGCGGTCCTAGAAGAGAAATTAAAAAGGTAAAGGTCTACAGCAGCAGTTAAGGCGGACTAAGGGACGGACCATTAGAAAAGTGATGGGGAGGGTGGGGAAAAAACAGAAAAAAAATCCATGCAAACAAAAAAGGTTTGAAAAAAAATACATGCAAACAGACTTGTTTAAAAAAAAAATTACAAACAGAACAACAATAGAACTTTAATTTTAAATGTACATCAGACAAAATTGAACTAAATCTTTGGAATATTTCAGAATATAAATATATCAAAATATATAATATATTAATATGCAATTTCTTTCAATATTAACAGTAACTCTTATGTAGTTTTATTATATACTATCAAAATATTTTCTATTGTATTTAATAATTAATTCTCATTCACACTGCCACTGTCCTCAGTGGCGTAACTACTATGGGCTCGGACTGGGAGGATCCGGGGGCCACCAACCCCAATGGGCCCGCAAATGGGGGCCCCAGGCTCAGGCTATAGAGCAAAAACATTGGCTAAGGGCCTCTGATATGTTACAATGGCGTTTTCTGACCATCAGAATTCTGTAAAATCTCTCCCCGAAGTCCGGGAAATGGTATTTCAGAGAATTTAGATTAAAAAATTTTCCGGGTGAGCATGCTCTGGACTCCTAGAAAACTTGTCCATATATGGTGCTTAAAGATATAATTTTGCAGTGTGTATTAAAGGGATATTTTTTGTCAAGAGAACAGTTTCGTTAACATTTGTATAGTTGTATTGGAAAAAAAATTGCATGCGAGAAGACATATTTAAAAAAAACATGCATACACAGCTGACAACCTGGAAAAAAAATGCAAACAAACCATGACAGATATTATCCATGATCTGCGACAATAACTAATTTTGACACCTGACGATGCTGGAAATGTGCATGCAAAATTTGATGCGATCCAACTTTCAATCTTTAGAGATAGTAAAAATAATTTTTGCTGTGCACCCCATGGGAGAAGGTATTCGGATGATGTAAAAGAATTTGCGACAACACTAAATTACTACTCACCACAAAGGCATATCAGTATGTCAGATCAATCGTTCCATCGCCACATCCAACTCTAATCAGAAAGTGGTCAAATGTCCTAGAATGTGAGCCTGGTTTCGTGAAAGAAGCATTTGAATCACTCCAAAAAGATGCCATGAGTTGTCCTGAGAAAAAAAATTGCTGTGATAAACATTTAAATTTAATTTAATTTATGTTGACTTAATTTATGCCAACCAATAGCAGAACTGTTGCTATAGAGACAAAGGTCATACGATTTATAGCTCGAACACGATACGACTCACAAGCTCGAACACGATACGATTTATAGTTTTTTGTATAGAGTTTTACGTTCATATTTTATACCAAATGTTCAAGAAATTATAGAAATAAATACGATATTCAATACATGGCGCCCAACGTGAAAAAGCCCGTTCAGTTTAACGATTAAAACAACGATTAAAGCCGAGGAATAAACGCGATTGCAACGAAAATTATCAACAGACGAGAAGCATTGTTTATACAACGAGATTTATATCGATCAATAGTAACAACGATTTTCAACGATGTCAACAGAAACCGAAGAGAAATTGAAACTTAAACGATTACAAATGAGACGACAGGGTTATCGAGCATTCGTGATACGATTAGTTAAAGAAATTGATGAAATTTGTGAAGCAGAAAGCTACGATTACGAAAGAATTCAAGTCATAGATCAACACTTACAAGATAAACTAAAATTACTCAACGAATTAAACGAAAGCATCTTATTACTTTGCGATGTCGAAGAAATAACACACGAAATCGAGGAATCAGAAGAAATAAACGACCGAATCCTATCTAAACGAAAGAAAATAGAAACGATCTTAAAAAATGGCGACAAAGTTCATAGTAAAATTAACAACATCGAAACTCAATCAACCGGAAGTATTGAAACTCAACCAACCGGAAGTAGCGAAACTCAACCAACCGGAAGTAGCGAAAACCAACACGTAATTAACGACGTAATTCCAACAGTCGAAGGGCAACAACAAGAATCTACAGCTACGGTTGAACTGCCAAACACAAATGTGGAACAACAACATTCTATGAATTTACAATCTACACAAGTTAATCAGCAACATTCGAATTCTGCAACTAAGCCAAGGCTGCCAAAGATCACGTTGCCTCGGTTTAATGGAGAAGTGACCAAATGGAATACATTTTGGGACTCGTTTAATTCTGCCATACATACCAATACTGACATTGCCAACATCGACAAGTTCAACTACCTAAAGTCATTAATCGAAGGCCCAGCAGCTCGAGCAATACAAGGACTAACTTTGACTAATGACAATTATGAGACTGCAATAAAGATATTGGAAGAACGCTTTGGAAAACGACAACAAATTGTGAGTGCACATATGGACGAACTGTTAAAGATCCCAAGCTGTACAAGTGACAAGTTAGACACTCTGAGGTTAGTTTACGATAAGATAAGCGTGCATACAAGGGGATTAGCAACTCTGGGTATTTCTGCTGATCAATATGGCAGTTTGTTAATTCCTGTCATCATGTCTAAGTTGCCAAATGAAATTCGTCTTCAAATTGCGCGAAACTCAACACAAGATGTATGGAAAATTGACGAACTGTTAAATATTATTAAGAAAGAAGTAGAAGCGAGAGAGGCGTCTGAAAGAATCAAAGCTGATGAACACATACGACAACAGGGTAGTAAATGGCAGGGACATAAACCGACTGCCGGATCCTTCCTATCGAAAGACGACCAGAATTATACTGTTCGCTGTGCTTATTGTAAGGAACTTCATTATTCCGCATCCTGTACGAAGGTTACTGATCCAGAAAAGCGACAAGATATTCTTCGGAATACCAATCGATGTTTTAACTGTCTTAGAATTGGTCATCGCGTTTCTAATTGCCAAAGCTCCAAGGGTTGTAGACATTGCAAGCAAAAACACCACCAATCCATTTGTAACACCTTGAAATCCCCAATCCCTGACAACAAGTCCGACCGCAACAAAACAACAGAGGAATCAAAGGGAACCACAACTACAAGTAACGTGCGAAGCAAGGGAACAGTGCTTCTTCAAACAGCGAGAACTACAGCAACTAATTCCAATGGATCAAGATCAGCAAAAGTAAGAGTCCTTTTCGACAGCGGAAGCCAACGATCATATATCAGCAACAGCCTCAAAACAAGATTAAACCTCAAACCTGTGAAGAATGAAACATTAAACTTAAATACGTTTGGTAATTCCAAATTTCGCAAGCAAAATTGTGACTTGGTTGAATTTAATCTCGAAGGCAAAGATCATGGCAAATTAACAATAAAAGCTCTCAGTTTTCCTGTAATTTGCTCATCTCTACCCACTAGAGTCAACATCGAAGACTTCCCACACCTTGATGGTCTTGAACTAGCTGATGAGTTCGAACACGATAGAAATGAATCAATAGATGTTCTTATTGGTTCCGACTATTATTGGCAAATAGTTATTGGAGAAATGCAGAAGGGAGAATCTGGTCCAGTAGCTGTAAGTAGCAAACTCGGATGGCTGCTTTCAGGTCCACTTCATGATTCAGCTGCGCCGACCGAAATACAGTCAAACTTGATCATATCCGAACAGAGCGAGACATTCAACTATGGTACCTATGATGAAGAACAGAACGTAGTCGACACATTGAAGAAGTTTTGGGAGACCGAGTCAATTGGCATCCATCCATCCGAAGACCCAGTTCGGAGTAAAGAATTCTCTAAGTATGTTTATCGACAAAGAAACCGTTACGA